CCATGACCCTAGGGCTGGTGACAGGTGCTGCCTTTATCCCTTAATAGTATAATGACAACAGTAGCTAAAGACCTATTAGTAGTTGCAAATGGTCTCTAGGCATCCTGGTTGTCACATTTGGTGACGAGCGTTGGTCCATTAGGATTTCCTGGTTGTTACATTTGTTGTTACATTCCTGGTTGTTACAGACCCTTAAAGAAAGATTGAAGACCTAACACCATTCCTACTCTGAGATAAGTTTCATTTTTTTATCATTGAAATTAAATAAAGAAGTAATTTAAATGAATCATGGCTTGTGTAGATTGTAATTGTTACTTGCCTGCATAAACATATACATTCTTGTTTTAACATCAGTCATATTAATTATATTTGCCAAACTATTATAATTCACCTTAAATGATATATTTATGTAAGTTTGGTGGCGCCCTCCTTCCCTTTCCTATAATTAAGTTTTGTCAAGGTTATTAAGTGCTACTCACAGCCCTAATTAAAATAGAGCTAAAACACGGTAAGTAAAACCAACATCACATGTTACATAGTCTTAGCCCGATAGTCCCAGCCCGATAGTCTCAGCCCGATAGTCCCAGATACTTCATATATTTTTTTAAATATTGGATCTGTATGTTTTTTTTTAAATAAATTTATTATTTTTGATTATGCTTATTATTCAAATATTAATTAAACCTAAAAACCTGCAAGTCAAGTTAAGATTGGTTTACGTAACTAATTTTTTGCTTTATTATATCGATATAATAACGTAACTCTGAATTGTGTAAACAATTCTTAGTTTATTGTAGATGAAAAATACAAAATATCTTAAGAGTACTTTTCAGTACTAAATTGTTATTAATCTTGTGTGCTTCTAAAGCATTTGCAAGTGACGGGGAATTGTATGCCTGAAAATCGTCGGCCGCCTGGACGCCGGGATGCCGGCAGTGTGGTCTGACACAAATGCTGTGCCGACACTTCAAGTACTGTTCACATCTATTGTGCCAGTGTTGGGCCATTAATGTGTGTTTGCTGGAGTGTACAGATTGGGAAAGATTTGCCGACAACAATAACTGATATCTTGCAAGAAGATAATTGTAACGAAATGCTTATCAACGCGAACGAAATTGTCGAGGAACATGACAGCGATACCAATGTGTATATTCTTGCACTTATTTTTTCACATTTTGTTAACTATAACTATGTATACTTTTTAGATTTTGACCATTACTAAAATATTTTTTTCTTGTAGTTCTTGGATTTTTAGGTGTTGGTTGAGGAAATGAAACTCGTGTTAAGGTAAAGCTTTCGGCGCTGCTCAGGGCCTTCTTCAGTAGTTTTTTTAATTTTTTAATATTTGTACATTATTGACAGTTAATTGTTCTTTAGTACATTATGGGGTGTGTAATTATAGTTTTTAAATGTCTTAAATCCTTTTATATTATTCTGTAATTGATTTTTGTCATTGTCGTGTCCGGTTTTGATGTTGTGGTATCCGTTATCAGTTTCGATAGTCAACGATTTTTCGATTTTTCGATTATTGATTTTTCGATTTTCGATTTTTTGATTTTTCGATTTTTCGATTTTTCGATTTTTCGATTTTTCGATTTTTCGATTTTTCGATTTTTCGATTTTTTGATTTTTCGATTTTTCGATTTTTCGATTTTTCGATTTTTCGATTTTTCGATTTTTCGATTTTTCGATTTTTTGATTTTTCGATTTTTCGATTTTTCGATTTTTCGATTTTTCGATTTTTCGATTTTTCGATTTTTCGATTTTTCGATTTTTCGATTTTTCGATCATTCGATTATTCGATTTTTCGATTTTTCGATTTTTCGATTTTTCGATTTTTCGATTTTTCGATTTTTCGATTTTTCGATTTTTCGATTTTTCGATTTTTCGATTTTTCGATTTTTCGATTTTTCGATTTTTAGGTTTATTTTCGTTACGGAATTTCTTGATTCGGTCGCCGCGCTCAAAGCTTGCGATAAAATCTATGCAATAGCTTAATAATGAAATAGTTAACACTGATAAAATAAAAATTAATATTTTATAAATCTTGCAAAAAAAAATTAATATCTAATATTTACGCCAGCCGGGAACATTTGTGATACCAATTTATTAGAAGCCGGAGAAAGCTCTTCTAATTCTTGTATTGCATAAACGTTCCAGTCCGCAGACGTATATTTAACTCCGCTTCATACTAATACGAATAATAGGGTCGGATAAAAGAATCCACGGCTTTCAAGTTGAAAGTTTCAACGCCGCACCGCTGTGCCGGTCGGAGTGGGAGGTGTTAAGGTTTGTTACGGTGTTACGGAATTTCTTGATTCGGTCGCCGCGCTCAAAGCCCGCGATAAAAGATAAAAGAAAATAAATGCATTCCTAAACAGCACTATTAGATAATCCCCAAATTTAAGCTCTTAATCTCTTGTTAATGATTTTTTAAAATTCGCCGAAATTTGTGGCTAAAACGCCTTGTTAAGTGCTATTTTCTGGTTTAAAATGGTGTAAACTGGTGTAAATCGTTGCAAGAAACGAATGATGACTCAGAGTGTACGATACGATAGTTACAGACGCGTTACACTAGAAAGAAGCACTTAACGAGGCGTTTTAGCCACTAATTTCGGCGAATTTTAAAAAATCATTAACAAGAGATTGAGAGCTTAAATTTAGGGATTATATTAGGAATAGTGCTGTTGAGGAATGCATTTATTTTCATTATGATATTTTAAAATTTAAAGCCCTTTGATTTTTTTTCTCGGAAACTGGAAGTAATTAAAACTTTAAAAAATATGCATATTCTAGATATTGTTGCCTTATTTATTTTATCCAAATTTAAATTTTCTAAAAAAATTACTTTTTGAGATATCCCTGTCCGAAAATTATAAGGGGGTGCTGTAATCACCTTAATGTTCGATCAACTGCAACTGTCTGTTCACGACCCGATATTCTTTCGAATAGAAAACAGAAAAATCCTATATACTTTCGAATTTATAGCTGACAGTATCACAAAGTTCGTTATTTTGGTTAATCGTTGATACGAAAAATTGCCCGTGCGATACGTTCAATTTCCAAAATATCCTACTCACAGACTGCGCCAATTAAGTGAGAGAACTTGAAAAAAGACTTTTTAAAAACAAAAATTTAAATGAAACCTTTATTAACAGAAAGCTGACAATGATCTGATCTTTTTTTATTCTGACTTATATTTATAATTTTAGTCCAGAGTGCAACGTAAACACTATTCTTGTATTAGTCGGCGGGATTGTTTTCATAACTTGCGGTTCTGTAAAAAAAGTGGGGATGTGGTCTCAATGGAAATATAATCCGGGGCGTTTTTTGAATGTCCAGTATTAGACGTCCAAATATATTCCAGAATTGGACGTCCTCTGAATGGTCAGAAGTGTGCCATTTGTATACTTCACTGGACGTCCATTGGATGTTGGAAGTCCAGAAAAAACTCATTTTTACACGTCTAGACATCCAAAATTTTATATCGAATAGAGGTCCAATAGACATATTTGTATTGACTGGGTGATAGCCAGGCCAGGTATTTAACTCTAAATACATAAACCTTAAATGACATTTGGCTTAACTTGGCGAGAAAATACTTGTTTCTACAGAAATGAGTGATAAACTTGAAAGTCCTTTTAATATAATATAAATTTAGAAATTCTAAAAATATGTAAGTACTTTTTAAACCTAAAAGCTTTGAAAATATATGAACATTGCAAATATTTAGTTAAACCTCTCAAACTTTTTAATTGTTACCTAAATTTTTTTGGCACCCTTAATTTTATTTACCTTATTTTTAATTAAGGAAAAGGTAATTTAATTTAAATATGGGGCTTTTATTACATTTTTAACAATAAATAAACCAAATATTAAACAAATTTTATAGATAAATTATAAAATAAACGTCTTTTCTTTTATAACAAATAATTAATTATTACATAATGAATTATATTTTGGTGCCGAAATTTCACCATTGCTATTAACCCTAACTATTTCAATGTAATTAAATTATATTGCAACATTTGCGCATGGACTATAACAATAATTTCAGATAATTTGCCAAACTCACATACTTAAAAGAAAATCAAAGTGTGTGGCCAAACTATTTCGATCAGTGTAGAAAATAAGCATGTTTTCTCAGCGTGCTAAGTTGTGTATTAATGAAAGTCATGCTGTGAAAAAGGTACATCCGATATCAAAGGCACCGACAGCTACTGTCGCTTCTTCTTGATCGGTATTCTCGGGTCACGGTTCGTAGGCAATACGGTTTTCTCATCCGAGTGCTAGGGACGGGAGTGTGACGTCACAAAATGAAAAATCGGGGTGATAGAAAATGTTTTGCTGCGGTTCGTACATTAGTTTTTAAAAATTCATAAATTTTATTAATATTTAGTGGTTTTATTTTACTTTTGAACTATTTTCTTTCCAGTGTTAGAGTTTCTATCATATCGGAAGTTTTATTTTTTAAAGAATAAGCTACCAAACAGGAAGGAAAAATCATGTAATGATTTCCATAAAATTTCAAATGGTTTTTATTTAATTGAAATATAAAGAGAAATATTATTGTGTGATTGGTTTACATTACACATTTTGGGTTAGAGTACGGCCTCCGAGCCGAACTCGGACTTCATTTTTTTTATAACCTGAAATAATTTTAAATAATAGAAATAGAAATTGAAATTATTTTCTTTTTCATTACGCTAATGTTCTTAGTTAATTTATAAAATAAAAAAGTGTACAATACATATATTTATTTATTTAATTTGGTATAAAAATATAAAAATTTACAAAACATAATTGTGCTAGTTATTTAATTGCTAATGAGGGTTACTCCAAATTACAATAAAGTAATAAAATCGTGAAATCATAATTTAGATAATTTTGCTATTTATATAATAAAACAACAGTTTGTTAATATAACAAAAAAATATGATGATAACATCAATGTACAAATTATAATTTTTAATACAAGTTTATTACAATTTTATACAAATCTAATGTCTTAAAATGTGTTGAATTTCTTCTAACGATTTGTCTTTAGTTTCAATAACATACAAGTGAACAAATAAGATACATAGTAAACACAATCCTGCAAAAATAATAAATATTGGGCCTATTCCTATCATTTCAGCGACATAATTAAAATATTGAGTAATAAAAAACCCAACACCATTAAAGATAACAATTGAAGAGGCCATAGCTAAAGGCCTAACTCTAGTGGAATAAACTTCACTAGCGACTAACCAACAGAGAGGTCCTATAGCAAAATTAAAGCTTAACATGAAAAAACACAATGTAGAAATAGGGACGAAGTTGAAAGAATTAACATTTGATCCAGAATCCTTTAAAATACAATAAGTACCTAAAATTGTTTCTGATAAGATCACTCCTAATGATGATGCCACGAGAAGAGTTTTTCTATTAAATCTCATAGTTGCTAGAGGAGCTATGGCACCTGAGAGAATCTGTACAGCTCCAAAGATGATGGAGCAAATAGCGGAAGACATGTAAGAGCCAGTAGATTCAAAAATAGATTGACTATACATTATTATTGGGTCTATTCCAGTAAATTGTTGGAAGATTAACAAAAATGTTGCTATTATGAAGCATTTTAAAAATATCTTTGTTTTTATCACTTCTAGTAAGTTCCCCTTTTGCTGTTCTTTTATGTTTTCTGCAATTTTAGTGATTTCTTCATCAATTTTGAAATTTGTATCTCTGTAAGCGATTAACGATGTTTTTGCTAGATCTATTTTATTTTGTAGAAGATAGAAGTAAGGTGTTTCCACACAGAATAATATGGCTAAGATAGTAGAAATAATAGGAAATGTAGCTAGAATTAAGTTAAATGTATTTACTTTTACCCACGGTCCAACGCTGTAACAAAATATATTTCCTATACCTACCATCATTGAAGTAAGAGTTATAAGAACACCTCTGTTTTCTTTACTAGTTATCTCACTAGTATAAGTCGTTGTGGTAATTTGAGCGCCTCCAATAGTTAATCCTGTTAAACATCTCGCAACATAGTACACTTCAATCTTTGGAAATAGTAGCATTAGAATGTAACCCAATGCCATAGGAAGACTAAGAGTACACATTGCAAATCTTCTTCCAATTGTATGTGCTATACAGCCAAAAATACAGCATCCCAAACATGCTCCTAATGTTACTAAGGAAGTCATCCATGATAATTGTGAGATTGTTACAAGTTGATTAAATGGATTGTCATCTGATATGGTTTGGAGCTTAGGAATTACAGGAGAAGACCAACTCGAGCCGATCCCTATTTGTGCTCCCATTAAAAGCGCTGTAAAAATAAACTATTTCAATTGAAATTGAATATATTTAATTGAATAGAACATCAAAAAAAGTAGTTTCAATTTAAGTATTAAAAAACTAAAATACTAAACTTTAACACACGATTAAGTTTAATTAACTTCTAGAAAAATGTGTAAAAAGGTGAAGACACAAAACTATAATACTAAATTTGAAGTTTATGGAAAATCACAAGATTCAGACCTTATAATAATTGGATTGGAAATACAATTATATATACGTATACACGGGTGTGTACATGCTGAAGATGCCTCGATGAGTGATGATAGATGATCGATAGACGATGGTAGATGCCAATCGATGTAACAGAAATGTACAGATTTAAATGAGAGTGTGCATACCAAAGATTAGCACATTATTACCACGATATTTACAGTCATTTTAAAATCTTAAACGCGATTGGATCTTCAAATTATTTCTGATGCGACCGGGCCGGTAGCGATAGCACACGTCATAGACCATAACGTATAATATTAAACAATATGTCAATTATTATAAAGGGACATTCCAAATGGAAGAAAAAAATCTGCTTCTATTTGAAGATGCTTTAAAAAATTCACTACATTATATCTCAGCACAATTTAAAAAATGAGTCACTCATTACGATGCTTTTTGACAACAGTATAACACTAATATAGTATTAAAAATATTATGACCTAACTCTGTATCGGACTACAGTAGTCCAATGCATTTTCTTTCTTTACCTCGTTGAGATGACGTATATAAACGATCTGAACTACATCGCCGGCAACTGAATTCGAAAATTGTCGAGGCATCAAACATAAACAAAGAAAAGAAGGGTTACTCTAAGCTACTTCCCTAATGTTGTCTTTCTCGCTTACTTTCTGGTGCCACTCTTCCCTAATATACTTTGGCAGATGTCAGTTTCCAGTAAAGTAGTTGCGGTTACGCAGCAAAAAGATCAATTCGTTTTGTAGAGAAAGCATAAAATTTTACACAGTTATTTTCGAAACAGAACGTTCGAGTCATGTGAAATTATGGTATATTTTGGTTTTATCATACATTGTACAGAACGCCAAAATTATCGTATAAAACGATCATTATCGTACACCTGGCGACACTGCTTGAAGCATATATCAGCAATCATCGAGGAAGATATCTTTGGCATGTACACCAATAATCTAGACTCACTCATCGGTCATCGCTCATCAATAATCGATCATCAATCATCAATCGTCGATCATCAAGGGCATCTTCGGCATGTACACACCCTTAGGATGTGTACATGCCGAAGATGTCTCGATGAGCGCTTATCGTTAGGCGATGTAATAACAAATATACTAATTTAAATGAGAGTGTACATACCAAAGGTATCGCACACTCGCACCATCGCACCATACATTTATATTACATCGATTGACATCCACTTAATCATCGTCTATCGGTCATTGATCATCTATCATCGATGCATCTTCGGCATGTACACACCATTAGTCTTCAGTAGTTATTAAGGGTTTTGAATGGAATGGGCTTAAATCAGAGATAACAGAGATATAAGCAGTCATTCATAAAATATAATATCATGGTGCCAACAATAGTTAGTACTGTATATATTCTATTTCTAGACGCGGGGCGAGGCGACGAAAGGTGAGAAGTAAGAGAAGGGATAGAGTGAAGGATTTTACGTAGTTTTATCAATGAATAACTGCCCGAGCTTATACTACATAACGTAAATTTCCATGCCGGTGTAAGCCCTGTTGCCACTTCCAATTTAACATCTCTAGGTTTTGGAATTTGTTGAAAATTATTACATCTAATTTAATGAAATTACATCTAATTTGGTTAAAAATGGCTATTTTTTGTTCTAATGCTCAATTAGGTCTTTGTAGAAAGTATTTTTTTTATAATTATTTAAAATCATTTACATTAGCCCTTATGGTCGAAAAAAAAATTTAAACGTCAATATCTCGGTTTCAACCGTCTACAAATTTGTATAAAAAATGTTCTTTTAGAAATATACTTCTCATTTGACGAAAAACGAAGGCATAAATGAAAAACAACTATTCTTTATAAAAGTTTCGCCATTATATTGACAAGGTAAAAGTACTTTCGTCATATTTTTTGCTTTTAAATTAACAAAAATATAGCAATAAACAATTAGTGATGTCATGGTTTTACTAGAAAGCAAACATTAAAGGCAGAGCCTCTCGACTCTTTATGCATCTATCTCAGTATTGAAATGTATGCAATCAGTTTGAATCTCTAACATTATTTTATACAGGGATTATTAATTTTTCCACTATGAATAATAGGGTGTATTAATTACTTCAAGATTTTTTTTTATTTTTGGTGGAAAATGAAAAATAAAATATAAACTATTAAAGGTATTTATTGAAGTATCAATTATAAACAGTAAGGCTATTGCTTTGCAAAATACAATAAATCCCCAATATAAATAAATTATAATAATAATAATAATAATAATAATAATAATTGGAAGGAAGTATATAAAGCATAAATTAATAATATTAAAATTTATAATTACACGACTTTAAAACTAATCAGAGAATCAGATTCACCACACGAATCAACATTTTCCAAAACATTAGCGGCTGTGCCATACAGGTGCAGGAACCGATACAGCAAATATTTTTTTTCTGCATTTGCAAATTTTGCTTCCACAGTCTAAAACAGAATATTATTGTTAGAATATTGTATAGTGTCTTTTTTGCATTTGCATGATGTAAGTTCTGTTATGTCTGGTGGCAGGTCGGACAGAGTCTTAAAAGTGGGTATCAGACTTCCATCTTGATCTACTTTCCATCCATACTCTTCAACATTAGGAAGCTGCATCTGGGTTTAAAGAGGTTAGCCAAATATTTAGCTGGTAAAAACATCTTAAACAATGTAGTCTTAGGGCGTCTTCAGTCGGTGGCAATTTAGCGATGGTTTTTGAAGAGGCCAATAATCCCCCCAAAATGTTAATGGAAGTAACATTGGCAGTTTTGAATAAATTTTTATGAAAATTCTTTCAAGATTACAGAATATGTTTTCAGAGTACTGATCAATGCCAAATCCATCCAAAAAGTAATGGTGTTAAAGGTAAGTTTTCCAACAGGTTCTTTTCCCAATGCTGGACAATTAGCTGGTTGTATTACAACCGGTCAGAGAATGAAAAGCAGGCACATTTTTTAGAAGGTTTTCATCCAAATTTAAATAATGTACTGCTAGAAATCGTCTTGAGTCTCCTCGCCCTGTTCTGAACCATATATCTTTAGTCAAAAACTTCTTAAAATAAATTAATAAGACATCTGTATCGTTGCAATAAATAATGCAGCGTGAATGCCCCGAATTTTTGGCTGACAATATGTGCAATAAGATACGATTATTAGCGTCTTCGTGATTTGAATTTAAAAAATCGTCTTTTGATGGTTTAAAATCTTTCCATATTTATTGATTATTGCGAGTTTTGAAGAAGTTGCTCTGGCAGAAAATGTGTTAAACGTCTTTTGTTAAATATCGAATGAATAAACAAGTTCTATTGTTGCGGAAGTAGAATATTGGGTCGGTCAATTTCTATATCAATTGATTTCTGAAATCCTCTCTTTTGACGTGTTGTATTTTTGATAGAATGTCCTTTATAATGATCAAATACCACATCTATCATTTGAGCATTAAATTTATTTAATAATGTTTACAAATATATGAGCATATTCTTTAAATGATATGCAACTTTTGAGCTTTCCTATTTTGATATAATTTTTGTCTTTGCTACTTGTAGCAACAAATCCGTAATTAAAATTTTAAACGAAAACTTATGACCCAAATATATTCAGCTGCAACAGGATGAATGTAGATATAATAAAGATGCAAAAATGTCTATATTTTTTCCCAATTTATTAGGTAATTTAATATATAACACATACACTTATTAATTCTTTAGTAAAAACAGATAACAATATGACACATTGCCCAATGGAACATAACGAGAAGTTTTATAATAAAAAAAATGAAAAATCCTACCATATCAATAATGTGATACATCAGCCGGCACGTAGAGAGAAACAGAGCTATGCTACGTTTGAAGGTGAAGAGAAAGATACACTGAGAGTTGATAAATTTGGCGGTGAGAATTAATAACAGCATAAACCTATGACATCTCTCATCGTTTATTGTTATATCTTTGTTAATTCAAAAGCAAAAAATATGGTGTTTACTCTGTTACCTTGTCAACACATAACCAAAAATTTTATAAATAATGTTTTTTTTTCATTTAGGCCTTCGTTTTTTGTTAAATGAGTGGTATATTTAAAAAAGACGACTTTTTAACTAAATTTTTGAAGGGCCAAAACCAAGATATTTACGTTTATATTTTTTTTCAGCCGTAAGTGCTAATGCAAATGATTTTTTTTAAATAAGTATGAACAATTACTCCCTACAAAGATTTTATTGTGCATTTGATCAAAAAATGAGTATTTTTTTCTCTATTTGGTGGTATCAATATCTGAATTTTTGATGATAATGCCCTTCTGCACACTCTAATTTTGTATTAACTCCGGAATAAGGGTTACCTTATCATGACCTTTCATCTGTGAAAAATTCAGCCTTGTGACAAAAGAGTGGGAGGTGAATCGTTTTCTTGAGCGAATATTTTAATACATACACTTTACTAACAGTGACAACAGCGGATATTATGTCCTACTGTGTCCCTTAGAATATGTCTTATTCACGGCCGCACGATATTTGTTAGTAGTTACATCTCCTGGTTATCTCTGGCTTAAATTCAAGTAAACTTTGGTATTTTGAAATTTAAAACTCAAGCGCGACTAAATAGAGGCAGTTGGAGCTTTGTAGCCAATTAAAATATTTTGAATTTCTTCTAATGATTTCCCTTTTGTCTCAATAACATAAAATTGAACAAACAGGATACAAAGCAAACAAAATCATGCGAAAATGATAAACGTTGGTCCCATACCTATTAATGCCTCAACAGAATGATAATATTGTGAAATAAAAAATCCGACAACATGGTACGCAACGACGGAGAAGGCCATAGCTAAAGTTTTAATTCTAGTAGAATAAACTTCAATACTAACTAACCAACATAGAGGTCCCATACCAAAATTAAAGCTTAGCACGAAAAAGCACAAGGTGGAAACTGGTATGAACTTAAAGGAGTCGACATTTATTCCAGAATCTCTCAAAATACAATAGATACCCAAAATGGTTTCTGATATGATCATTCCTACTGATGAGACAATTAAAAGAAATTTTCTATTAAATTTCATAGTTACAAGAGGAGCTCCAAAGATGATGGCGCAAATTTCCGAAGGTAAGTTAGAACCAGCGGATTTAAAAATGTACATGACAATTGCGTCTATACCAGATAACTGTTGAAACATTAATAAAGTAGTGGCTATTATGAAGCTTTTTTGAAATGCCTTGGTTTTTATAACATCTAATAAGTTCCCAGTTTGTTGTTCTTTGATGTTTCCCTTAATTTTACTGATTTCCTCGTCAATTTTTATATTTGAACCTCTGTAAGCTAGCAATGAAATTTTAGCCAAATCTTCTTTGTTTTGTATTATATTATTAAATTATATTAAATATTTTTACTGAAACCCATGGTCCAACGCTGTAACAGAATAAAGCTCCTACCCCAACCATCATAGAGGTAAAAGTCATAAAAACACCTCTAGTGTATTTACTAGTTATCTCGCTGTTATAAGTCATAGCGACAATTTGTCCTCCTCCTACAGTTAACCCAGCTAAGAATCTGGCTACATAATAAACTTCTATTTTTGGAAACGAAATCATCATTACGTAGCTTAGGATCATTGGCAAACTCAGAGTACACATTGAAAATCTTCTTCTTGCTAAATGTGCTAACAAACCGAAGATACAGCAACCCATACAGGCACCTAAGGTTACTAAAGAGGTCATCCATGAAGATTGTAAAACTGTTACTTGCTGATCGAAGGGATTGTCATCTGAGACAGTTTGAAGTTTTGGAATTACGGGAGAAGACCACCTGGTAGCGATACCTGATAGGACGGACATTAGACATGCTGAAAATAAAACAGATGACACACGTTAACATTGGAAAATGTTTTAATTATAGGGTCTTGAAAATTATTATTATTACTAAATAATTAATATATCGGCCCGATAGTAAAGAACCACTGACTCTAATCCTGGCGGCCTAAATTTGAGTCTTCGCTGTGACAATTTAAAAATAAATATCTAAATACACCAAAAATATTTACGCATTTTACCAAATATCAGTGTTGCATATCTTCAACACTGTGACAAAACATTACATATACAGAATATTTGCAGTCATCTACGATTAGAAAAAAGCTATACGAGCCACAAGCTATAGACACTGAGAGTGACCATCCATCTCTATACTCTGTGCACAACGCCAACATCTTCGCGAAGAATGAGCTGACAAAGAAAGTCCCATTCCACGAACCATGAACTATTATATGGGGCGGGGCATAGTTCTCTCCAATTAAATAAATACAATATTTACGTAATTCTCTGATTCTAGAATTAGGAATTGTTTGCAAGTGAAAAATAATAACTTGATTTTAAATTAAATCTGAATATTTTTGTTCGTTAAGTTTACCATCAATAAAAAAGGACCAATAATGTGAGCGCTTAAAATATCAGTGCAAATATTTAATTTCTGAGGATTATGTAGTAATACTTAAATGTTTCACTACGGATTGTTTTTTGTGCAATGAAAAAGTAGATTCGTCGGTAAATTAAATGTACTTTAAAAAGTTTTCATTTTGATTTAGCCGATTTATGAAAATTTCCCGAAAACCATCCGTCTGAAATTATTTTACAAAAAAAAAATTAAAAAAATACAAAGCAACAAAAATATGCTATACCTATTGCAACAAGTGACGAGTAGGTATGTTTTACGAATATTGGCCTGAAATTAATAGAGACGGGCATATCTCCAGCGTATGGCTCGAATAATTTTTTTCAAACCTATGAAAGAAGCCGAATGACCGTATTAGTAGATTTTTGTGAATGGGCATCTCTTTGAACCTTTGATATACAGGGTGTACAAACGATAAGTTGAGTCCCCAGAAACTACAAATATAGGTATATAAACAAAAATATCACAAGAAGTTGTGTGTTATTAAGCTAGATTAAACATATGTAGACAGCAAAATATTGAAAACAATTAGGAATTACATTAAATAAAATAATAACATTGATTTTTTTGTGGCAGATATTGGGAAAGTAAGAATAGGTCCAAAATCAGGATATGCGTCTACAATTGGGAACGTATAATATTGTTTAATAAATACAAACTATCAACCGCTGGTAATGTATGCAAGTATCTCATCTACATTTCACAGAAATTATTTACGCATATACATTCTAAACTAATACGTAAACTAGATTTTATGAATAATATTAATTTTATTTTAATTTTAATTATTAAATAGTAAATTCTACTTTAAAAATTTTCAATACACCTTTTTCTTATTTTTGATCAAAATTCGAGAGACGCTAAAATGGTGGTTCACATCTCATCAAAAACAAAAAAAAAAACGAGAAATGATTTAACTTGGAACGAAAGACCGGAAGCCGATAGTAGTATTAAGACGTTGAATTTTTTGGTTTGTGAAGCATTGTCATTACTTTTGATTAGGGTTTACAAACTTGTTCGAGCATTTTATCCAATAATAGTTGGCCCCTTTACCTCTTAAGCCTGCTAATGTAAAATATTTGAGCTCCTTACATCTTTTTTCATTTTGATGAATCTATTAATACCAATTCTTTGTCAATGCATTTATCGTTCTGATAGTATAAAAATAATAGTGTTGGACGACTACTGATGTATTTTTAACATATTTTTTAAAAATTATCGTTAATTAAAAATGTTCCAGTTGTTTTTGTCTTGGTTTTGGGAAAATTTATTAAAAAAAGCTAATCGGTCTTGTAAATCACTAATTTTCATGCAATGCATCTCATTAGCCGGACAAGCTGCCATTATGCCTATTATTAAAGACTTTAAGAAATAAATACCTAACTGTAATATATGAAGAAAAACCTTAATTAATAGACTTTTATCGTCTGATGCTTACTAAAAAAGTTGATCCAAGGTCTTGTATATCACTTATTTTCATGAAATACATCTCATTAGCCCGACAAGAACCGGTTATTTCTATTATCAATGCAATTTAAATCAATACTTAATTGTAATATATGAACCTTTGCTGCAAGGTATTAGTCGTCTGATGCTTTAGCAATAATATTTTCGTGAGAGTACTAGCCTTTTTTTGGTTGAATACCATCACTTTTTTGCTTTAATAACTTTGGTAGTTTCGTATAATTTTTTATATTTATTTCTTGATGTATATTGGATAGTACTTCTAAGCAATGAATAATGGGTCCCTTAGTGTTGAGGTTGAGGATTTGTAGAATCCGAATACGATTTTATGTTTTTTCTTTGACTCATATAATGGAGATTCAGACGCTACCACATACAATTTTTTTGGTTTTCTGACAATACATTTCGTGACACAACAATTTCAGTAGCTTTTTTTTTCTGGTGGAGTTAAAGTCATTTCATTTCCTATTTCGAAATCCATTTTTTCTTAGTTTTTGTAAAATAATTTACAATTTATTTTGCATTCAAAATTTGACGTTTTGAGTCATTTCGACTTTTAGATGGCAGTTGCCAGCATGGGCGTCGTTACACAATTCTATAGGGAGGGGCAAAATTTTGAAAAAAATTAGAATGTTTATTTGTTGAAAAACAAAGAAAATGAAAAATAAAAGAGCAATACAAATTAGCAAAAGTTTCTAATAAATAAAATAACCCAACAAAAAAGACAAAAACTAAAATAAAAAAAAAAACTTAAAACAAATATTTTTAAAAAAGAAACAGAAGGTGTGAAATAAAAGAAAAATATGAACAAGAAGGCAGAGCCATACATAATATTTAAAAATAAAATATTTATAGAAAAACAAAAACAAAAAAACTCAAAGACGTCGACGAACACTAGGAAAACGCAAATTTTTAATTTCTTCTTCCTCTACCTGAAATAATTGATAACAGAAAATATGATTTCTTTTTAATTTTTTGCGATTATTTTTCGATGTACGCTCATCGTGCAAAGCGCAGTCAGCCTATTTTCATTATTTATTCGCTCTGTGCGTGACAGCAGCGCCAACTAGTTCATGAACTAAAGGACGATATTTGCGTATACTGACAATACAATATTTAATGGAATTCCTAATTAAAAAATATTTGTTGATTTTCATAAAAGTATATGGATTTGTAAAACAAATTATTAATTATTATTATATATTTTTGTTACAAAAAATAAATGTATGATACGTTGCCTAAGTCTAATAAGTTGCCATTAAAGAATAGGTTAAATAATGTGAAAATAAAAACATTACCATTATATAATAACGTAGTATCAAAACGTATTAATAAAAATAATTGGTAAATTTGCGATTGTAATTTATATTTTCTTCATTTTTAATTCGAAAGGACCCATAGAAATTAATGATTAAAATTGGTTTCCTATCAATAAGTCACAATATTGCATTTCAGCCACATACAATAATCGAAGGCAGAAATCTAATCTTTGCTGAACGTTTAAATGTTAAGGGATATTGAACAACATTGTAAAATAATAATTAATTGTTTATTTAAAACCTTTCAGTTTTCTGATGTATACTATTTCCAGTATTACTGTTATTATTAAAAAAAAAGGTTTTCTTCTTATTATGCAGCTATCCATTTATTTCTTTGATTTAATTTCCATTTTGCTACTAAAAATTTATATAATTTGCACCATTTTTTCTGCTAGTATTTTTACAATTTACAACACAGCAACTGCTATTGCTTTTTGTTTTGTTTTTATCTGAACAAACAATACTAAAATTAAAATAGTAACTCAGGTGCGCACATTCGTTGGTTAATTTACCGGAAGTACTTACATTGACATTGTCATTGACAGACGACAATACAGGTAGTCATCTTTATAAAACAAAAGTTGCCAACTATAATAGATACGGGTATTTTAACATTACCTACTTAAAAAAAAATAAAATGTATAGATACGTGTAAGGTATGGATATGGAATAAATATAATATTCATCAACTGTATTAGCCTGAATATTATTTTTATGAGATTGCTGTCCATAATTCGTAACATTTAGATTTCTACACCTGTCATGTTTACCTATTTCTTCTATTTCCTTAAACAATTCAATCAATTTAAAGGTTACCTAACATATTATGCCTTGTGTTTATTGTTATACGTGCACGGCGACAATCGACAATATGAGCCAGTGCCAGTTATGTAATTGTCAGAGATTAGGGACAGAAAGATTGGAAACGCAACGACCGCAGCAACGATGGCGTCATCTAGCGTCTCAGATGTTAACTACAGGTCTACGTCGTTTGTAGAGAGACCAGTGCAAGTCTGAATCTTTAAGGATTCTTATCTTCTAAGTTTTCTAATTGTACAATTATTGATAATATTGTTAAAAAAATCACCCTGTATTTAAACAATTTTTATTTGAATGTTTTTGTCAAAATATATAATTTGTAATGTCAATAAACTCTTCCGTTTAAAAGGAGAATAATTTATCTTTCCAGAAGAAGTTTCAGTGTCCAATACTTAACAAATATAATTGAAAGAAATTCTCAGCTAATGGACTTCTTTAGTACTGCAAACCATATTTATAAGAAATTAGATACTTTTGTAGGTATTAATAAATAGTAGTTTACCTAGAATTTCTTAAAATCAATCAATAATATTAATCGTCCTAAAAGTGACATATAAGTGACATTGACTAAATCCTTGAAAACATGCACGTTTTATCAAAAACGTGTGAAAAATTCCGCTCGCTGTAAAACACCCGTTTTAAAAGCGTACACGCTTTTAAAACGAATGTCGAGAATAGCGAATAGCTCGTATGTTGCTAAAGCGTATACGTTTTTTAGAAAACGATAGCCGAGGATAGGGCCCCTATATTTTGCTTGCTGCTGTCAGTGTCAGTGAATATTATTTTTGAAGTCACAGTTTATTGCTAAAGAATCAGTCAGCTCACTCGGACCAGTTGAAAGTTCCAAAATAACATCCACTCCAGGGATACAAATTCAGGATACGCAGAAGACTGCTGTTTTATTATAGGCCGTTATCATATATTGTATTATCCGAGTTGCACAGTGTATAAACTGAAACATTAAGATCAAAAGTGCCGACGCAGAGTGAGCGATCTGATTCTTTAGCTGTAAACTGTGTCACAGGGTTCAAAATGGCCGCGCCCTATGTTGGGCGTGTCGGACCTCTCTCTTGCCTCGTATAGTAATCAAAGTATGTGTCGTAGAGTAAAAAGATGGTATTTTGACAAAAAAATTGTACAATAGATACATGCATAGTATAATATAACTTAAATGGAATGAAAAAAAAAAAAACTTTGGCATAATAATTTATTTATCTATATATAAAAATGTTTACAACGAAAAAAAACTATAGAAAATACATGAAACTTTAACACATTTAAAGTAATCAATGACTGTCACTTGAAAGTGATTGAAATTTTGCATGCAAGCTTTTGTTATGCCGTGATAGGGACCGTGCGTGAAATATAGAGGCAGCACTACTGCCGAACTTAGCCCTCTCTAGTGTTTAATTTTAGAATTAAATGGGGTAAACATTGCAAGTAAATAATAAAGGGTATTTTTTTAAATATTAAATATAGTTAAAAATAGATACCGGCCCGTACCCTTAGATTATACAAACCTTAGATGGAACATAAGATACTGCGCATAATCCCATTTCGAAATTATTCACACCCACCAATCGCAGTTGAGAACATCACATGTCAGAGCGTTGTCCATCCAAATTTAATGTGTCAACGAGAATTAATTTGGTATTTTAGTGACTAAAATTTTGGAAATTAACGTTGAAAATGCCAAGATGTGTTGTAAAAAGCTTTATTTATAATAAACCTGCGAAATGTGACGGAGATAAATGAAACTTACATTTATTTCGGTGAGATATTTAATTTTTAAGGATTCTGTCGACGTCCATATTTGTTGATTTGAAAATAAACAGAATCGGACTTGGTCATTGGTACATGTTATAAGTAGCAAATAAAGGTTATTATTATAAACTGTTTATTATTTCTTGTTTCATGGGGAATCTTTTTTTAGGAAGTGAAAAGAGAAACATACAATCAAATACAAAAATATCAATTTCATTGCCAATTTATTCGTTTCAAACTTGACAACTGGTTTCAATAGTTTTCTCAAAACTATTTATTTAGTAATTCTCTATAACAGTGTTACTCAAAGTGTGAGGGCTTCGCGAAGAAAATAATCACAATAAAAAAAAACAGTTCTATCACCACAAAATGGAGGGACCTGGCTTGAGGACTTTTTTTTGAGAAGTAAGTTTTTTAAGTCACTAAGAGGAAGGAGGATATGATTTTGCTTTAGGACTTTTTTTAATTTTATTTTTCATGGGTGAAATGGATTTGGGATAATTCTTGCAAGGAATCTTTTGAATAAATCAAAAATAAATTAACAACAAATGATGATCTTGTGCATTTTCAGCCTGAGTTGCCGATTAAATTATTCGTAGATGTATCAAATGTGGGAATAAGGGCCATGATATGTCATGTTTTTGAAAAAAATATTGAGAAATCTATAGCTTCTGCTTCGCGTACCTTATCAAAGTCCGAACAAAAATATTCCCAAATTGAAAAATAGGTCCTTGCAATAATTTTTGGCTTAAATAAATTTAATGAATATTTATATGGACATTTCTTTATCCTAGTTACAGATAACTTACCTCTGGTAACTATTTTTAACCCAGCTAAATGTATACCCCAATTTTCAGCCAACAGACTACGTAGATGGGCAGTAATATTGTCAAATTACAATTATCAAATTGAATATGTGAAATCGGAGTATAATATAAAGCCGATTTTTTATCATGTTTACCTATTGAAAGTCAAAATGAGAGTCAAAATAAAGAAACATTTGAAATACATTTTTTAAATTATGTGTTTTAAGTGTTTAGGGCTGCGTTAAATATTTCGCTTTTCAAAAAGGTACCGTCGCCAAAAAAGTTTGAGAAACACTGCTCTATAATAATATGGGATCTATCCATTTAATTTACATTCTGCATTTTTGACATATAAAGTAATATATTTTGTAATCGCAGCAAGTGTCAAAACGATCTACTTTATGCAACCAGTTGCATAAAGTAGAACATTACGCAACTGATTACGAAAAGTTGATTATGTCACCAGTTACGAAATGAAAATAAATAAAACTGCCTCTTTTTTGGTTTTTAAGTTGAAAAATCGAAAAATCGTGAAATCGAAAAATCGAGAAATCGAAAAATCGAGTAATCTAAAAATCGAAAAATCCAAATATCCAAAAAACGAAATATCGAAAAAAACCAAATATCGAAAAAAAGGCAATGAATAGTGACATTTCACATTTGAAAATATGACATTACATTTAACAACAAAAAGAAAACAAAAAGAAAAGCTGTAAATTGCGTTTTATTTTTAAAATAACACCGTTATTGAAAACGGCCCAGAAATGTTGGGGGTAGAATTTTGACGTACTCTTAAGGATAAAGGGTAAAAATGTTTTTTTTCAAATTTCTCGCTGGTAATG